CCTGTAGTGACGTATGAAGTGAGAGCTGGACCATAAAGAAAGCTGACCACCAAAGAATTGATGCTTTTGAACTGTGGTGCTGGAGGTGGATCTTGAGAGTCCCCTGGACTGCAAGGAGAACAAACCTATCGATTCTAAAGGAAATCAACCCTGAGTGCTCACTGGAAGGACAGATCCTGAAGCTGAGGCTCCAATACTTTGGCCGTCTCATGAGAAGAGAAAAATCCTTGGAAAAGACCTTGATGTTAGGAAAGTGTGAAGGCAAGAGGAGAAGGGGACGACAGAGGATGAGATGGTTGGACAGTGTGATCGAAGCAAACAATATGAATTTGACACAACTCTGGGAGGCAGTGGAAGATAGGAGGGACTGGCATGCTCCGGTCCATGGGGTCACGAAGAGTCGGACACGACTGAACGACTAAACGAACGAACAACAAAGAACTGTTGAGTGTTGTATACATATGGGTTGTTCTTATGTATGGTTGTGTAGCTGTTACTGCCTACAAGTACACTGCTGATAGAGGTAATTATTTTAAAGAACCATCATAGGTCAAAACGGAGAATGGGACAGGCATCCAAGACAAGGCCTTGCCTTCAAACGTAATAGTCAAGGCTTGCTTTGAAGAAGACTACATGAGACAGCTTAACAGCGAGCCGGAATGAGGAATGGAGAAGAATAATGAGGGCTAGGCTGTGGTGATTGTAATTTTTAAAAAGCAAATTGGGTGTCGTGGAAGAAGAGGAAACATGTTTTGTGGGAAGAAATAGAGAATGCAAGATGTGTCTGTATGTAATCCGAAAAGAAAAATAAGTACTAAGAATATTAATAAGTGGAGGGAGCAGATCACCATGTGTGTGGAAATGCAGAACAGATCAAGGGGAAAACAGCCTGGTCCATAAAAGAAGAAAGAATGCAGTTAAAACTGCCTCTGTAGGTCAGTGTTTCTTGCAATCTGATTCCCTAAAGGACATCCAAGTCAATACATTTAACTTGGGGCACATTTGCGACAGTAGTAAAATGCCGTGATCAGACTGGTGCCATGATCATCATTGCACCTTCTTTGCCGGTGTAGCACATCTTTAGAATAAGACCATAAGTCTCCAAAGCTAAGCAATTGGTTACATGGGAATTCTCTAATAATGGTGTAATTCCCGGAAGGACCATAAAATACATCCATTAAAAGTTTAATAGAACTGCCAGCTGGCTTCTTTTGATGTAAAGCCTTTGTCTCTGAAAAGAAAATGGATGAAGGCTATGGCTTTCTTTTCATGTGGAGGTGATGAGAGGGTCATTTTTCCCTACTGTGTAATAATTCCCATACCATTGGGCTGATAACTGGTGACTAGCACTACTAACATGTTGAAAAGTTTCTTTAGCTGTTTTAGATCAAACATAATCTGTTTGAAGAAGAAGCCTTGAGATTGTAGCCAAAGCTTCATGAATCATGGAATGATGGCACTGGCATAAGCAAACAAGTGTCTTGTATTCCTTTGCTATTTGTATTTACAGAATCTTGAAATCATGTCTGGATTATCAGCATGAAACAGTTGTTTGTACAGTATATTATAGAAGAGATGTTATTTTCAGTCATTTTGACTTCAGATATGAAAATATTTAAGACACAATGAGATGAAATGCTAAATCATTTCTGCTTATTTTCATCCACGGTGCAAATTCTCTGCACTCAGATACACTAAACAATTTACCTTGTGCTCTGTTTGTGACATTAAACATGACATTATTATTTGTGCTTCAAATCTCTCATGGGAAGCATGTGATGAAATCACATATCAATATGTGGTTCGAACAGAGAGGCAAATTAACAGTGACAGCCGTTTCAGGACAAGGTAGATTTCTTTTAATACCAGACATGTAATATTGCTTTTAATACAGAACTTCACTAGTGGCCTTACCTTATACCTAACTCTTTCAGGGAAAGTGAAATTTTCAGATAAGCGAAATTTTCCTCATTTTCAGTCCGAGAGTCACAGCCCATTATGAAGTGGCAGAATACTTGGATTGTTTTCACTTAGTTTTCCTGGTTTGTTTATTTATTTATTTTATTTTATTTATATCCCGCCTATCTAGTCAATTAAGACCACTCTAGGTGGTTGGGGGTTTGGATTGTTTTCACTTAGTTTTCCTGGTTGGGGGCTACTTTACCATGATCTGTAATACTTTACCAAGATGAGGGTGAGGTGTGAGCAAAACACAGCAAATAGTTCATACTTTCTTTCCCTCTCATGGCTTCCGCCAGATGTGAGCTGAGTTGCAGATGATGGGAGTTATATTATAAGACATTTAGAGGTTGTTAAGGTGGAGAAGATTACTAATTGCATGCATTGTGCCCTAGAGCTTGCAGCACTGCACCTTCTCAGCAGTTCTTTTAGAGTCGAAGATATTTAAAAGTTGGTTCTCCTGGGGAAAAAAAATCACCTGAAAATTCAATGTTTTGATATCACCAAACAAAAGAAATGTGATTTGTCACTAAGGAGAGTTCTATATTAGAGCACAGAAAGAGATTTTCACTCTGTCCAATTGGCTATTAATTCCAGATGTGCTCTATTTTTTTCTCTTATCCTTTTCTGCATTTTCGGAACACTATTACGACTCTTCTGAAATCACATCTTTTATTGAACCCTTTTTACTGTCATATCTGTGTGTCAAATGAAGTGTACCTTGTTCATTCTTGTTTTCTGCTTTGCAATGTTGTCTTGTTTTGCAAATTATTCATGTAGTGTGTCTCGATATGTGAAGGGACAGAAAACTGCACAGGGTGTTCTTTGTATCAGTTTCAGGACTGCACTTGAACACAAGTAACTGATTTATGTGGTATAAGTATAGAGGGGACATGTTGCAAATGTCACCATGGGTGGACTGAAAGCAGCATCAAAAAATAATCTGTGAAGCCATGTAAACAGGTTTACATTCTATTTGATATATAGCTGTTTTCAGGAGTTGAAATGAAATACTGTAACATGCTTTATTTTTTAAAAAAGCAAGCTTGTTTCAAGAGTTAGCATTCTTGTACTGTACAGAAAAAAAGATATTTTATGAATTTGTTCATTAGTTCACCTTATTTATATTGTTTGACTAGAGAAAAGGACATGTTGGCAATACCAAAATAATTCATATATGCTAGATAATAGGGATTTAGGATTCTAAATACATCAAACTGATGAGTGGGGGCATAATTTCAGTTTATGTTACAGAATCAACATCTGAACAGGGATCCTGTGTCATATATGCCCAATGATACACAGGTTTTATTTGCAATAGATTAATACCTTTGCTTCATATAAATATTTCTTTTCTATACCACATTGTCCAATAAACAGAAAACAGATAAACACTGTGTAAAATGTATTATTTTTGAGGGCATATATGCATGTTTAGGTTGGTATAATTATATACCAACCCATAATCGGTGCATTACACAGAATTTAATTGGGGATGCAGAGGAGGATCCTACAAAGTGCTCTGTAGAGTAAACTAATTTTAGCCCGCATTAAAGCAGGTGGTTAATTTTTCATGGCAGTTATTTAGGTTTGTTATCCAAGAAAATCTAATTCCTTTGCCATTTACAGGAAGGTACAATTAGAACTTGATTAATGTAAAATAAGTGTATGAATCCCAAATTTCATCCAAAGTTTGGTCATAGATACAGTGGCACTAAATTTGCACACTGGAAATGCTGGAGGTTCTATATACAGTATTATCAGTAGTAGTATATGGTGATGTAATTATTACTGACCTAGGTCATTAAATTTCCTAAATATATATTTTAGGGCAACTGGATAGCTCAATGAGGTAGGTCTCTGGCTGAAGAGCCAAAGGTTGGGAGTTCAGTTTCCCACTACACATCCCAGAAAATCCAGCCTGTGTGGCCCTGGACAAGCTGCACAGTTCTAGGATGCCCCCAAAAGAAGGCAATGGTAAACCACTTCAGAGCACTCTTTACCTAGGAAACCCTGGAAAGAATTGTCATAAGTCAGAATTTACTTGATATCACACAGTTATTAATAGTTAGAATTGGCTTTTTAAATGTAAGAGCCAATGATATTGTAGAGACTCAGCTCTAGGCACACACAAACATATCTTGGTCCCAGCTTTGGCAGCTGTTTCAGTACAATTTTAGTTCGGTTGGTGTAACTTTATGCTGCACAGTGAGGATGATGTCATCAGCCATCAATGGATAGGAATTTTTTAATTAAACTAAATTAAAATTTTCTGTTACTCACTGATGACATCATCCTCATTGTGTGGTGTAAAGTTACACCAACTGAATTTCAGCCAATATTGCAATTTGTCGATAGGCTTCCAACATGGGCAGGATATCTCTTATTCCTATTTATGGGCTCAGATGCCAGATTTGTTTCCTGTTGCCACCTTTCAATGGCTGAAATCCTGTTGCTTGGTGTAGCAAGTCACAGCTAGGCTAGACCCATTAAATCCGTGAGGATTTGGTGAGTCACCTCTTATGTAAGTTCCATTGATTCAGTGGACCAATTCTAGGTGTGGCTTACAACACTGAGCAACCAGATTTCAGCCATTTTGTATCTATCATTAATTTGCTGTTCTAGATTTTCACTGAGCATTTTATTTTTGCAAGGAGTCATAAACTAATTGTAATGTGTTGCTTAAGATGGTAATCTCCTTTGGTTTGTTTGTTTTTGTTTTTTGTATGTTTGGCTGGTTGGTTTTGGTTTTGGTTTTGATCGTTTAAATACAGGATCTTAATTATTCCCTTAAGTTATGAAATATTCTTAGTAATGATTAGCTTACAGCTTTGTGTGTCTGACGCACAAGGCACAATCACTATTAGCTTCCTTCCTTATCTCTGTATGTTTTGTTCTAGTTGCTAAATTGTTTCCATGAAAGTATCCTGTAGAAACAGAAGGGAATAATTTCATGGTTTGGATGAAGGCTGTGAGAAGAAAGAAAGTGGAAAATAAACTCTAAATCATGTCTCATTTCCTTTCTTCTTTTCCACTCCCAGTATCCAGCTGCCTTGATGAATCTGGGGGCAATTCTTCACCTCAACGGCAAACTCTTAGAGGCTGAATCAAACTATCTCCGTGCTCTTCAATTTAAGCCAGATGATGTCATCACACAGTCAAATCTACGCAAACTCTGGAACATTATGGAAAAGCAAGGCTTGAGGACATCCAAAACATGACATGGTCTAGCATGATCCTTGAAACTTTTTTGGGATGAGGCTAAGTGTGGACAAAGTGAAATCCAGGACAACTTCAAGGGTGCTGTTATGTTCAGTGCTCTTGTTGAACTGCACTGCAGTTATCCAAGGTTGTAATTGCTGCTAGAAGAACCTCCAGGGCTGCTTTGTGGTGTGACATTTTGACAATGAGAGGGAAGTGGAAACTCTCTTAGGAACTTCATGAAGGACTTGGTGGTTTCTGCCACAAACATAGAAGTGAAATAGATTTGAAACTGGAGCACTTGAAAGAAGCCCTTCTAGCCTATTCACCAGGTCATCCTAGTCATATTTTCATTGCTCATTTTCATGTGGTTTCTAATAGAAAATCATGCTGGCCTAAATAATATGCATCCAGTCAACATGGGGATTTATAAAAGGATCAAGACTGGCTTAAGTTATTTTCTGAGGCTGTGCTTCATTAAAATGTGTACTAAAACCCAATGTGTTTGCAGTTTGTCTTAATATTGTTTAACTCCTTAGGGCTGCTTATCTGTTTATGCACAAGCACAACCATAGGAAAAAGATTGGAAAGATGTGACACCATTTGCTGGAGAAATACATATTTTGTGGAAAACATTGTTTGGTGAAATTAACATGAAACCTGTTGCCTGGCTGAAGTTTAGCAGTTGTAAGTGAAATGAGCAAGGACAGTGAACAGCACCATGTAAGGTAGCATCACACACAACAAAGGTGTGCCCAAGCATGAAAAATTAAACTAGGCTTGTAGATGGCCACGTTGTCGGCCTTGTTCATGTTTAAAGTTGGAATAGTTTAATTTTTACAACAAAGGATATTCACTGATGAGGAAAAATTGACTATTCTCTCCCATACTTGATGTAATCATGCTTCATTGTTTCAGGCATGTTTGTATGAGCTCAACACACTTCTGGGTTCTGACTCATGCTGGGAATAAAGTATTCAAGCTGGTGAAGTGGAGAGATGTAAAGTGAGGAGACTCTTCTGCTTCCTGCATTAGCATGTATCTCTTGATTTAAAGCTGAACAATTTGACCACTTGCACCACATTTTCATTAAGCGCATAAATGACAAACATGTGTTGGTTGGTAGTACGTTGAAAATAGAAGATAATGTAGTACAGGGAAATCTAATATAGGCATTAGAAAGTAAGCAGATAACTGTATCATGGTTGCATTTATCTGTAGTGTGGATCCTTGAAGATATAGCAGAGCATAACATGCACAGGGCAGTTGTACAGCAGAGTGAAGCTGCTCCACAGCTACTCCATGTACGGTTGTTGTTTCTGCTAAAATGTAATGCTAAAATATTAACTATATCTCTGCCTCCAGATCTGCTGCATGTTATTGGAACCATTTGAGGAGGTGTGCACATGTATTTGAATGGCTAGTTCAACAAGCTTCATCAGCCATTTCTGAGAATGGAAACATTTTGCTACAGGCAGCAAGACACTGGAAGGGTTTAATGCTTTTAGCATCTCGTGAACTCACAGGGTGTTAGACCAAAAGGGATTATGTGGCTGACAGTGTTTGCCAATTATTTTTGCATACATTTACCATTTTTACATACAGAAAAACATTGGTAGAGTATCTAACCCAATGCTGCAGCTCAATTTCTTACTGTCAGTAAAGCAGCAGCATTGTTTAAAATTAAGATTTTCAACCTATTGGTATAATTCTTATGATTTAAAAAAATGTATTTTATGAAAAATGTTAAGACCTCACTATGTGCTCTTTCAAGTTCTTTACTAATTCCTTATATTGGACTAGCAGATTGCTCTTTAAAAATAAGGTAGCTTCCTCTGTTCCAGCATTCAATTTGAAATTAGCAAGCATAAACATAGACTAGGTTCCAAAGAGTTACTTAGGGATTTCTAAGGGGTTGCCAATATCCAGGAGAATCCCTTTTCTCAATGCTTATCACAGACTGCTATTAAAACTCTGAACCAGAAAGCATTTCCATTACAATGGGGTAAGGAGAGACAATGTTCCTATCAGAGAAATGCACAGCTAGTCATGTGGTTCTTTGCATCTTGGCCTTATGTCATACAGCATCCCTTGAACTGAAAAACAATGCCTTGTATTAAAAAGTGTATGTTCCATTCCTGTTTATTTCTGGATTAATGCATTGTTGAGCCTCTTTATTTTCCAACTGCAACAAAACTGCAACAAAAACAAAGAGGAAAACCCTATTTTTAAAAAAATTAAAAAGTCATCCTTAGCTAGTGTTTCACAACTATTGCTAGCTTTATAGTTTGCTTTTCACACTGTACTTTTAAATGTGTAAGATGTGTATTGGTGCGTAGAGATAAATGGGAACACATATATTCTGTGCTTTTTAGACACACCAGCTTTCTTAATGTATAGATGTTGAGGAACCTTGGGGCATCGCTCCTGATGTAACCACAACTTATATCACAATGCTTCATAGTCAAAAAGCTTGTTTTGTACATTAGAAGCACCATTTCCCATCAATCATTGGTCATTATTTGTACCATCCATTAATTTTTACCCTCTTATATACTCCTCTTACATTATTTTTAACCTTGCTTGGTTTGGTGCATTTTGGATGTTGACCAAGCTGCAACCCAAATTATTTTGGAGTATAGGAGGAACTAAAAATATGAAATTTTAAAATTCAGCCTTTACAGTGCAAAAGGTTACAGCATATGTTAACTTGAATCTATTTAAAACACAAACTATTTCTGGTATTTTACGCCATAATATTTTTTCCACTCTCTGTAAAAAATAAATACTGTTTTAACCTCTATGAGTGAATTAAAATACAATCATATGCATGTTTACTCAGAGGTCAAGTCCCATAGCATTCAATGGGTTTTACTCCCCTTTAAAGCATGTATGGGATTGCAGCCTAAAATATACAACTGAAGCATGCTGAAACATGTTCATTCTAGCTACAGACTATGCTGCAACGTCTTAATGTAATATTTCACTGCTTTGTTAGCTTCTGCCTTTCTTCTTGTGTTTTGTTTTCATCAATTTTTAAATTCATTGCACAACAGTAATTCACAGTGTTATGGTAGTATTGACTGGCTTATTTCGAAAATGGCAAGTGAAAATTTTAAAATGAAAAAGAAGACTGCTCCATGTTCCTCCATACATTTTCACTAAAAGCATTGGGCTTTATAACTTTCAGTTTTGGAGTAAGTTTAAAATGTCTGTGCTCAGGGATTTGTGGTGGATATTGCAGACAGTGCTTAAAAAAATTAAAAGCACAAGTTTACTAAATTAAATTTTTATTTTTTGGAAAAAAATGTTATTTGTATAAATTATCAAGATTTGTAGGCTTTCCTTTTTTTGTAGAAATAATTGTTTATGTGCCAGATAAGAAAATCCAATTTGTTTTCAGTAATAAATGATTGATAACAAATACCTTGCACATGCTGTCGTCTCTTACTTTCTGTCAATATTAGATTAACACAAATTGGTTCTCTCTTAGGTTCATAGCACTTTTATTAACATTTTAGAATGTAGAATATTAATCTTTTATTTTTATGTGGAATATAATTTTGACAGTACCTTGAGAAACTATTTGAAGTAAAATGATTCCTGCCTTCAGTCATATATTTGTATAAAAGTAAACACATTAAAACCAGTGAAATCTACAAAATAATAATAATAGTAATATGCCATCAAGTTAATTCTGATTTATGATGACCCTTTCCATTTTTTTTCTGGGTAGAGAATACTTAGAAGTTGTTACTATTCCCTTCTTCTGGGGGCACCCTGGAACTGTGCAGCTTGCCCAAGGCCACACAGGCTGGCTCTTCTCCCTGGAGGAAAAGTAGGGAATTGTATTCCCAATCTCTGGCTCCACAGCTAAATACTTAAACCAGTGGTTCTTAACCTTTTTGAAAGAAACGCCTCCTTGAGCCATTGAGGAAGTTATCATCAACCCCCTCCCCGCTGTGATGATTTCTTTCTTTCTTTCTTTCTTTCTTTCTTTCTTTCTTTCTTTCTTTCTTTCTTTCTTTCTTTATTTATTTATTTATTTATTTATTTATTTATTTATTTATTTAAGACACTTAAATCCA